CGCGCTCCGCCTCCCCCTCTGGCTGGCTGCCTCTCGTGCCCCGTCCCAGCGCTCGCCTGGTGACCTGCCTGGGGTGAGTGGAGATCGGGGCCGTAGTGCCCAGCAGGCACCGGCGGTCCCGGTCCCGGTCCCGGTCCCTCCGCGTCGGACGGGCTGCGCTGCCCTGTACCAGACACACACCTCTTAGGGAAGCCCCAGCGATGATAGATCGGTCCGGCTCCCCCTGCACACTCGAGGTTTATGGGACGGTCCGCACTGATTGCATTCCCCAAGCTGAGCAGCCTAGTGCCACGGCCATCTTGAAAGACGAATCAGGTGACTTTCCCGACAGCCGGCACACCCAAAACGGCGAGCGCTTATTGGTCAAACCGGATGAATATGTAAATAATGTGCCATCTTTCTTTAGGGGCACTGAAACCTCATGGGCGCCATTACTGAAGCGGGAAAAGAAACCACATGTCAATAACAGGGCTAACCCCGCCCAGGGGCAGCTCCTCCCTCCATCCCCGAGCCAGACCTCCCCCCCCACACACACAGTTAGCCCCACCACCCCCTGCTGTCCGGTTACCCGCCCCCCCGCAGGCTCCACCCAGCGGCCGAGGTAGCCCCTCCCCGCGTGCCTCAGAACCAGCCTCTCCTGAACCAACCGACCCGCCCCTCGCTCTCCGGCCCACTGAGCCGCTCAGCCCGTGGCCGGAGAGGCGGGAGCCGCGTCACGTGCTGCTGCCTGTTAATCACAAGAACCGCTCTGGCCTGGGGGATCAGCCCTGAGGCGAACCTGGGGCGCGCGCCCTCCCTCCCTCCGCGTCCCAGTGACCCGTTACCGCAGTTCCCCTGTGAGGCCGCCTGCGCGCGGCAGGGCCTCTGTGCGCCGAGCCCTTCCCCTCAGACCCTGCGTGCCTCGGGGCTCCCGCCTGATCCCGCTGGGGGGACCCAAGGCCCCACCACGCAGGACGGGGCTTTACCCGCAGCTTGCTCTGGAGCTGGGCCGCTGGCTGGGTCCCTGCGTGGCCCGCTCACAAGAGGGCAGAATGGATGAAAAACACATGACTGAAAAATTGCCATTTGGTAGCATTTTGCACCCACTTTGCAAGGCTGTAAATGACCGTGTAGGGCGCAGTGGAGACTCAGCAAGACTTTCTCCTGGCTCAACCTCACTGATTTGGCTCTTCTCTGGCTTCTGTTTGGGCACCAATCTGCAGCCATTCCCCCAGGACACGGTTGTGTGCTCCTTCCATCATAACCAAACACAAGCTGGGACAGTTGAGCGGGCTTGCTTATTTGATCATTTCTTTTATTAACGTTGTCTTAACTTGTAGCTAAACAGCTTGGTAATAGCAATGATAATATAATTAAATTTAACAAACTTGTGTGAGGGAAAACACCAAAGACGCCTACCACAGTAGCATTTAACTTCAGAAAGGGGAACTACACAATAATGAGGAAGCTAGTTAAACAGAAATTAAAGGGTACAGTCACAAAACCTTGCAAGCTGTATGGAAAATTTTTAAAAACACCATAATAGAGGCTCAAATTAAATGTATTTTCCAAATTATAACACATAGTACAGGGGTCGGCAACCTTCGGCACGCAGCTCATCAGGGTAATCTGCTGGTAGACCGTGAGACATTTTGTTTACATTGACGGTCCGCAGGCATGGCCCCCCATAGCTTCCAGTGGCCATGGTTTGCCATTCCCAGCCAAAGGGAGCTGCGGGAAGGAGTGGCCAGCACGTCTCTGTGGCCCGCACCGCTTCCCGCAGCTCCCATTGGCCAGAATGGCGAACTGCGGCCACTGGGAGCTGCAGGGGGCCGTGTCTGTGGACGATCAATGTAAATAAAATGTCTTGTGGCCCACCAGCGGATTACCCTGATGGGCTGTGTGCCGAAGGTTGCCAACCCCTGACATTGTACAAGGACCAAAAAGTTCCAAAATGGCTAAACAACAAAGTAAAATAAGTGGCTAGAGGCAGAAAGGCATCTTTTAAAAATTGGAAGTTAAATCCTACTGAGGAAAATAGAAAGGCGCATAAACTCTGGCAAGTCAAGTGTAATTAGGTATAACACTTACAGACCCTGGTCGTTGGCAGGCGCGATCAAACCTGGGACCTCTGGAGCTAACTGCGTGAACTTTTACTGCATGAGCTAAAAGCCACATCTGTAGAACAGACTTCTTAATCTCTCTCTAAGTGGTCTCAGTACTAGATGGGACAGAACACCACATCCAGGACGTGTGTGGGTTACATAGGAAGGCTAAAAAAGAATTTGAAAAGCAACTAGCCAAAGACTCAAAAACTAATAGCCAAAAAAAAAAGTACATCAGAAGCAGTAAGCCTGCCCAAACAATCAGTGAGGTCACTGGACAATCAAGGAGCTAAAGAAGCACTCAAGGAAGATAAGGCTATTGCGAGAAACTAAATGAATTCTTTGCATCGCTCTTTACTGCAGAAGATGTGAGGGAGATTCCCACACCTAAGCCATTCTTTTTAGATGACAAATCTGAGGAACTGGCCCATATTGAGGTGTCAATAAAGGAGGTTTTGGAACAAATTGATAAACAGTTATAAGTTGCCAGGACCAGATGGTATTCACCCAAGAGTTTTGAAGGAACTTAAATATGAAAGTGCAGAACTATTAACTGTGGTATGTAAGCTATCACTTAAATCAGCTTCTGTACCAGATGACTGGAGGATAGCTAATGTGACCGATTTTAAAAAAAGGCTCCAGAGGCAATCCTGGCAATTTCAGGCTAGTAAGCCTGACTTCAGTACCAGGGAAATTGGTTGAAACTATAGTAAAGAACAGAATTATCAGACATAGATGAAAATGATTTGTTGGGGAAGAGTCAACATGGCTTTTGTAAAGGGAAATCATACCTCATCAATCAGAATTCTTTGAGGAGAGGGTCAACAAAGGACAAGGATGATCCAGTGGATAAAGTGTACTTGGACTTTCAGAAAGCCTTTGAAAAGGTCCCTCACCAAAGTCTCTTAAGCAAAGTAAGCAGTCATGGGATAAGAGGAAAGGTCCTCTCATGGATCAGTAACTGGTTAAAAGACAGGAAACAAAGGGTAGGAATAAATGGTCAGTTTTCAGAATGGACAGAGGTAAATAGTGGTGTCTTCCAGGGGTCTGTACTGGGACCAGTGCTGGTCACCATATTCATAAATGATCTGAAAAAAGGGGTAAGCAGTGAGGTGGCAGATGATTTGCAGATGATACAAAATTACTCAAAATGGTTGAGTTCAAAGCAAAATCCAAAGAGTTACAAAGGGATCTCACAAAACTGGGTGACTGGGCAACAAAATGGAAGATGAAATTCAATATTGATAAATGCAAAGCAATACACATTGGAAAACATAATCCTACCATACATACAAAATGATGGGGGTCTAAATTAGCTGTTACCATACTAGAAAGAGAACTTGGAGTCATTGTGGATAGTCCTCTGAAAATATCCACTGAATGAGCAGGAGCAGCCAAAAAAGCTAACAGACTGTTAGGAACCATTAGGAAAAGGATAGATAATAAGACAGAAAAGATCATAATGCTACAATATAAATCGATGGTATGCCCACACATTGAATACTGCATGCAGTTTTGGTCACCCGATCACAAAAAAGATATAGTAGAATTGGAAAAAGTTCAGAGAAGGGCAACAAAAATTATTAAGGGTATGGAACAGATTCTGTATGAGGAGAGATTAAAAAGACTGGGACTTTTCAGCTTCAACAAGAGACAACTGAGAGAGGGTATATGATAGAAGTCTATAGAATTGTGAATGGTGTTGAGAAAGTGAATAAGGAAGTGTTATTTACTCCTTCCATAATACAAGCACCAGGGTCACCCAATGAAATTAATAGACAGTAGGTTTAAAACAAACAAAAGCAAGTATTTCTTCACACAATGCACAGTCAACCTGTGGAACTTGTTTCCAGGTGATGTTGTGAAGGCCAAAACTATAGCAGGGTTCAAAAAGATTTAGGAAAGTTCAAGCAGGATAGGTCCATAATGGCCATTAGCCATGATAGTCTGGGATGCAATCCCATGCTTTGGGTGTCCCTAGCCTCTGACTGCAAGAAGCTGGGAGTGAACAATGAGATGGTTCACTCTGTGATTGCCTGTTCTGTTCATTCCCTCTGAAGCACCTGACATTGGCCACTGCAGCAAGACAGGATGTTGGGCTAGATGGACTGTTAGTTTGACCCAATATAGCTGGTCTTACAGTTTTTAAAAATATGTTAATTCAGTGCTTTGTCAGAGGCATTATATTGAAACCCCTGGGGAATTAAATCTTTTGCATATCCACTGAAAAGGTACAGCATGGGCAGTGACAGTTCATGCTGCCCCTCAACTTTGCTCTGTAGGGACCACTTAGCATACAAGAGTGAGAGGTGTAGGCCCAGTTCCGCAAAGGTATTTAGGCTCCTGAACTCCATTGCTTTAGTGTCCACAGACATCTGGTCCTTGTTTCTTCTACAACAAGGAGTCCAACTAGGGCCATCTTTGATGGTGTTTTTGTGATATGAATGCTTGTCCAAAGAGGAACTGGACTGGGAGCACCAATACCCTTAGGCTACCTGGCAGCCATTAGATAATAATTTTCAGTCACTGACAGTTTAGGGTTGATTCTGCACTGGGTTCCGCCTGGGTAGACTCTTGTGCCTGCATGGAACCCCACCGAAGTCTGAGGGGTCCACACAGGTGCCAGGGTTCACTTGCATGGAGTTAACTGCATTATCATGACCTAGACTAGTACTAGAACTGATTACCAGTTCCCAGCTGTTTCTATACCTCTGAGCCATCACGTTCTTCACTGTTTCTCTATCTCCTTTTGCCACTGTGTGATGGAAGATGAAGAGTAGGCTCTTGTGACTCAGCTATTTGAGCGGGTGGTGTCTAACCAGTGTTTGACTGAGATAATGCTCCCCCTTATATCCTCCCTTTATTCCGGGTTTTTTGTATATTTTTTTCTGCACACACGCACACAAAGAAAAGAAAACTTTGCTGCGAGGCTGCTGCACAGGAGACGAGTAAAAGGCAGAGAGATGACAGAAAATGACAGGGGCACAAATGTAAGTGAATATATCCACTGGTGGGAGTTTTTTTAGTAGAAAATATGTTTTTATATATAAATATATTAAAAAGGCACAACTGCTAGAGGTGCATGGGCCCTCCTGTAACCAAATTAAGACCCATTCAGAATCTCTTCCTGCTACCTCCTTCTGGATCCCTGAATAGGTTTCAGGCATACCATGTGTTCCATCTCAGCTAGGGAATGCCCTGTGAATGATTTGACCTCTGGCTGTATTCAGGGTACCATGGAAGAATTTATAAGTGCTAAAACCGCATGGAAGCCAGGGGTACACTTACATTTATTCTTTATCTAGTATCATACATATGAATAATAGTACTTATGGTATGGGGCTTTGCAAACATTAAGTAGTTAATAATCAGAGCCCACCTTTCAGATTGTAAAGTGTTATTATTTAATTTTACTGTCTCTCACTTAAGAAAGCAATGAGTGTTGGTGAGGAGGAGGAGACATATTCTCCACGACTTTGTCTAGTCTAATTTTAAATATCTCAAGGGAGTCTGCCCAGGGCCTCCCAGAGGATTCAGGGGGCCTGGGGCAAAGCAATTTCGGGGGCCCCTTCCATAAAAAAAAAGTTGCAATATTATAGAATACTATATTCTCGTGGGGGCCCCTGCAGGGCCCGTGGCCTGGGGCAAATTGCCCCACTTGCCCCCCCCCCCGGGCGGCCCTGAGTCTGCCACTTCTCTTGGGGTACTCCACAGTCTAATACATCTCACCCTTTGGCACTTTTCCTCTGGTGAATAACCTAAATTTACCTGCATGGGGTTGCTGTTGAATTCCCTCAAGGAATAATTGTACATTTTCTAAAAGTGTAGATTCTCTAGTCATTTTTATTTTTTTAAATTATTAAAAAAATAAGCAGAGTTCTATAATTGTCTGTAGGATTAGAAGGTATTTGGGCGTAAATGTCACTCTCGGGGGAGATCTAACTTGGTGTTATATTGAAACTGAAAGGAGAACAGGAAATTACATCCATTGAAATGAAGAAGGAAAATTTAGGCAGAATATTAGGAGAAATTTTCTAACCATGATATCTATTAGCATATGGAATAGTCTTTGGATGGGACTCCATAGAGAATGGTCCACATGCTGTTGTTTGGGACATTTTAAACCAAAGTAACCTAGAAAGAGTGTTGGAGTCATAGTAAACAATTTTTTACTATGGCAAAATCACCATAGTGCTCACAATCTTTAATGTATTTAGGCTCACCACCACCTTGTGAGGTAGGGAAGTACCGTTATTCCTGTTTTTACACATGGACAAATGAGGCCCAGAAAAACTAAGCAACTTGCCCAAGGTCACATAGGAAGCCTATGGCATAGCAGAGCATTGAACTCAGCTCTTTCATGTTCTAAGCCAGCATCCTAATCACTGGGCCATCCTTCCTCTCAACAGTCCTCCACTAGCCCCACAGGAATGTGCTAGAGCAGTGATACTCAGACCTCATCATTATCCAAAAGAATCACAGTAGGGTGAATTCATTGTTTCATTTACTATATATTATTCTCACAGCAAACTGACTGACCAAGTATTATTATATCAACTACAATAGGTTAATAACATAGTAAAAGCATCCTGATTGGTTAATTACTTAGATTAATAATTAAATCACACAGTGTTTTAATATCATGTGCTACAAAGAACTGCAGGACACACATTAAAGAGCCACTTGTGACTCATGATCCTCAGTCTGAGTATCACTGTGTGAGAGAAATCTGTTATCTCTAGTTTGTATGCTCATGAAAATGAGCAAAGGTTTGGTTAATTGCAGATTTGCTCTTTTTTTAACGTTTAATCGTCCAACAGATCTAATTTTTCATATTGTCCAACCAGATCTATTTAAAAAAAAACATGTGATATACAGTAGAACCTCAGAGTTATGACCACCAGAGTTTCGAATTGACCAATCAACATACACCTCATTCGGAAACTGGAAGTTTACAATCAGGCACCAGCAGAGACATACACACACACAAAAAGGCAAATACAGTACTATGTTAAACATAAACTACAAAAATAAAGGGAAAGCAGCATTTTTCTTCTGCACAGTAAAGTTTCAAAGCTGTATTAAGTCAATGTTCAGTTATAAACTTTTGAAAGAACAACCATAATGTTGTGTTCAGAGTTACGAACATTTCAGAGTTATGAACAACCTCTTCCATTCCTGGGGTGTTCGTAACTCTGAAGTTCAACTGTAGCAAATTACATTTGAATGGAAGCTGCTTCATTATGAACAAAAGATCATGCAAACTGCCACAAATATCTGATTTTTAATAGGCTTAGTCCTATGTCAGTAGAGCTACCAAGTCAGTAATATTAGAACCTGTAGAACTCATTGCCAGGGGATGTTGTGAAGGCCAAAAGAATAACTGGTTTCAAAAAGAATTAGATAAGTTCATGAAAGATAGGTCCATCAACGACTACTAACCCAGATGATCAGGGATGGACACAATCCCATGCTCTTGGTGTCCCTAAATCTCTGACTGCCAGAAGCTGGGACTGGACAACAGGGGATGAATCACTCATTAATTGCTCTGTTCTGTTCATTCCTTCTGAAGCATCTGGCCCTGGCCACAGTCAGAAAACAGGATACTGGGCTAGAACATTGGTCTGATCCAGTATGGCAGTTCTTATGTTCTTATATTTTATTATCAACTCCCTTAGCTCTTTTCAGCCCTCTCTCCTTGGACTAAAGCCTGATAAATCCTAAATGCTTATTTGTGCAGAGCTCCTGGTGACTTTAATTGGAGTTTTGACTGATAAGTCTGGCAAGATTTAGTCTTTTGACTCTGTCGTTAGTTTTAACTGTGCACTGAGCTTGAAAAACAAAGCAAATGATGAAAATTGCTAATAGCATAACACTTAGCTCTTTTATTGCATCTTCTATCTGAGGTTTCTCAAAAAAATTTACACAGGTAAATGAGTACAACTATATACTACTTATGTATTTATAGCACTTTACATTTTCAAAATATTTTATAAACATTAACTCACAAAACATCCCTGTGAGATAGAGAAGTACTATCCCAATTCTAATCCTCTGCATTAACCACTTATTCTATTAAAATTGTTACTAACCCCTAAAACAGATCAGGGAGCTGTTTGGAGTTAGTAAAGGTAAAATTGATTTGCAACTATTTAGTTTTCAAGTATATTTGTAGACAGGATAAAGAAAGAATTTTTATAGTTATTTTTTAAAAATGGCAGTGGTTTAAAGGTACTTTGTGGTTTGCATTGTTAGAATAAGTCCCAGGGGAAATTGATTGGTGAACAGAAGGCCGGTGAGATGACAGAAGTGTATAATAAATGCAGTTTATCACATGGTTCTGCAGTTTATCATGCAGGCTACAAATTTAGAGATCAATAATAGTTATTTTTTCCCACTAGGTGGAGCGATATGTTGGTGAAATTAAAGGAGGACTGAAACCAGCCATGAAAATCACTATTATTGGGGTCATATGTTCCAACCCCAAGAGGTAGAGTGGGGAGCTGTTGTTCAGTTGGTTATTTCACATACAGGAGTATCTGCCATCTAGGCCGACCATAAGCACAAGAGGTTCCTTGAGGGCCTGCATTCTTTTGAGTTTGGAGGGGAAGCTGTACAGACTCATAATCATGGGCCCAAACCTAATCTCTTTCTTTTTGCAGTGAGATTGACGTGGGGGAGACAACTGATAGCCCAGTCTCTCTAAAAATGTGGTAAAGTGATTGGGCAAGCAACAGACCTTCTACTGCTTGTTTCTATGATATAAACTACCTGGTGTGTATGTGCAAGCTTTCCCCCTGTTGGATAGTATCAGACCCAATCCAGGATCTGAGATTATGATGCCCACTAGTGATTGGAGGCCTACAAAGACAACTTCATCATCTAATTTTGCACAAGTGGTAGAATCCAGTGGTTTCAAGCATAAAAACCTCTGGTCTGTAGCTGTGTGCAGTTTAGATGACAGCTATAGTCATTTACAGCTATGGATCCTGATATAGTTCTGGGGGCAGCCCCAGGGACCGCCCAAATAGTGGCCGTTGCAGCTGGCCCCAGGAACTGCCTAAGCAGTAGCGGTCCCGGGTGCGGCCATAGCAGCGGGCCACCGGGGGCAGTCAAACCCCAATGCTGAAGCAGGGGCCCCCCAGAGCTGCGGGGCTCAGGAGACGAGATATAGTAATGGGTATTTATAGTAAAAGTCATGGACAGGTCATGGGCTGTGAATTTTGGTTTATTGCCCGTGACTTGTACATGAGTTTTACTAAAAATATCCATGACTAAATCTTATGTTTATCCATGGAATATGTCCTTGAACAGAGTTAGCAGTAGATGTCTGTTCAGGCACAGCCACCAGCTGAGGGGGAGAATTCAGCAAAATCCTGAGGACTGCTAGGACCTAGCTGGGAACAGGGCCAGGGGAAGTATGAAACAACTTGCTCCCTCTCCCTCCTCCTGGAGCCACAGCCCTGTTCCCCCGCTGCTCCAGATTCATAGATTTTTTAAGGTGAGAATGGACCACTACAGACATGTAGTCTGACCTCCTGTGTAGCATAGATCATAGAACTTCCCCTAATGATTCCTGAATTGAGCATTTGCTGGCACTTTACACAGGTGTACATAACTACACAAGGGCTACGGCAGTGGAGAATCAGGCTACCTATGACTCAGAATTTACACTTTGCCTGCACCACTGAGATGAAAGACACACAATACCGCCTCCTTTGTCCCTCCATACCCAGCAGTCCATCACAAGTGATCTAGTGTAAACCCGTTCCATTCTCAGCTCTCAGGAGTCAAGGGCAGGAACTTCAGATCCCTGAGAAGCTCCAAGAAGAAGCAGGGATGAATCACTAGATAGGAAACTACACAAATGTTGAGACAGATATTGCAACCACAGTCAATATCTTTGGGGACCATATTGTATTAAGTTTATGAATGGTTTTTGTATCACTGTGGACCAGGGATTGTATGCAATTCCAGAGGGAGGGTTACCATAGCCCCAAGGGGGTTGATTAGTGTGACTCACCTGCAGGTACCACCCCCTGGGGAGGTTTGTATATTCTGATTCAAACTGGGTTTTCCAGAGATCGACAGACAAAGAAAGGGCTTTTGATATGAAAAGGCTGGGTTTAAACTGACTCTAGGTCAGTAAATGGACACACCCTTCTGTCTAAGAGGGGCTCCAAACATTGTGGAAGGGTTAGAAAGACTTTAGCCTACTAGGGCCCCCCTTAGACTAATAGGTAAATGTGTGTAGAAACTTTTATTTAAATGTTTTCTCTGTAATGCTTAAGAGTAAATGTGCTTGAGCTGTGTGGTAACTTGTAATTGCTGGTAATATACTGTTCATAGCCCTGGGTGAGAAAGCAATGCACAGCAGCTAGCCGTTGGGTGGGCTTGCTGAAGATTTCACAGTGTACGAGAAGGAGCTGTGCAGCCTTAAAACCCCGGGCAGGAGGGAGAGGGAGGGGGGTATCTGCCCAAGAGAGATAATAGCTGGAAGCCTGAAACCTTAAGTTGGTGCCCTCCAGGAAGCCTCAAGGGGGATTACAGGTGCAGTTAACTCTGAAACTATGACAAACTATCTAGTATAGACACTCCAGTTATTCCTTTTGTTGTTATATGATTTGCAATTCATGTAAAGAAAAGGGATCCTGGTGCCAATCTGACACTAAAGAGCTCACTCCTTTCTTCCCTTCTCAAATCAAAATAAAACAGAAAAACAATCTCCGTTGATAACATAGTAGAAGTATTTATAGGGTGCCATTACATTGGACGTAACTGAAGTATCACTGTCACATCCTAAAACAAGTCACTAGTTAATACCTTACGACTCAGTGTTAAGGTAAACAACAGTAACCAACATTGCAGAATGTGGCCAGATTGGCTTGAGGTCTGCATAAAACTGGCTAAGCACTCCCAAAATGAAAAACCTGAAATAGATTCTTTCAGGGCAGGTCTGCTTTAGTTATTCCAAAGAACTGCTGAGGAACATCATTTCAGGATATTACAACCACCAGCAGGGCCGCCCAGAGGATTCAGGGGGCCTGGGGCAAAGCAATTTTGGGGGCCCCTTCCATAAAAAAGTTGCAATACTATAGTAACATGTATTTGGAAATGTAAAAAATAACCAGTGAAATACATTCAAAAATTAATTTTTAATAATTTGAAAATACACTAAATACATTATTTAAAAACATTAAATACTTTAATGGTATGTATACATTTGCAAATACATGATGGGCTGTCGCTGGGTGATGGTGATGGTTGGTGCCAATGGGCTGTCGCTGCCTGGGGGTGGCACTGCTGTTGCCCAGGGCTGGGTGGGGAGCTGGGCTCTGGGTCAGGGGGTGCCCGGCTCACAGGGGCTGGGCTC